ACAATAACAATTAGGTAGCACCATAGGCATCCCAACCACCAGGTAAGCTTAGGATGAACTAGAAAAGAATGTATCACGCAGGTGTCGTCAGGTCCTCTTACTTGAGGACAAGTTACTATTAATCTCAAGAGGATGCATGTAATGCTATGCTTGGTTGTATATAAAAAGGGTGGGATTTCTCTGTTTTTGTAATCTCACCAACAGATTACCGGTCATGTACATCACAGTCTGGTTTAATGCTTGTTCAATAAGAAAACTGTTCTCCTTTTCTAGAGTTGCGGTGAGAATTTTCAGGATTGCCAGGAGATTTTAATTTTTCCCCGACAGTATCTTGGTCATCTGTGATCAAAAGACAGAAAGAAAGAATGAGGGTCGGGATGTCATTGATAAGAAAGCAATAGTTGTTCATAATAACGGCTTACCAATCCTCTATGCAGCTGTGAGGTGTGCTTTGCGCCTAACGGGTTGGACACTGTTTATCAAGGTCTGAGCGTCATGGGAGCTGATTTTCACATTCTCAGGACCAGGGCAGAAGCCAGGAGAACAGTTAGGAACCACAGTGCAGACATGTACTGGGACGGTGTCAGAGAAGACAGATCCTAGAAACGTTAGGAGTAATCTTTTAGAAAATTGCTTCCCTGTTCCAGAAACAGAGGCACAGAGAACTTCACTTCTTTTGGGCATTTGAACATTTGATAGTGCTTCCCAGCACACTTTAGATAAAATCCCAACCCTCTTTCCAGGCCCTGAGGGATCTGTCAGAGGTAACTACAGTATGTACAGTGGTTGAGAGCAATGCAACAACAGTAACTGATATGTATTTTCATTTAATAGGAAGATCTATATTTATGCCCATTTTATAGGTGAGAAAACCAAGGCATGAAGATGTTAACCTCTAGGGGGCACTTGGATGGTGAGGTACCACGGAGGGTGATGAGGGTGACGAGTTTCGGTTTTGCAGTAATAGGTTGGATGGGCAGACTTTCCCAAGGCAGGGGCCACTGGGAAAGGACAAGGTAACTGGGGAGGGGGGAAATGTGAGTTAAGCCCCAGATAAGTTCAATTTCAAGGGTCCAAAGGAAATGTCAGGTGAGCAGCTGGCTAAGCAAGGCTAGATCTGAGAGGAGCGGGCTAGGCTGGAGGGAAATGTGGACTGGGTTTAGATTGTCATTCTAGTAGTAAACAGAGGTGACAAACTGAAAGAAGGGGGCCTGTGGCTGTGTCCCATGGTACCCCCAACATGTACCATCTGGGTGAGACTGCAACGGAGACTGCAAAAGCAGCCCTAGAGAAAGGGTAGGGCCAGAGAGGTCAAGGTGAGTCAGCATTTTTTGAAAAGAAGCAGCATGGTAAACAGTGTCTGCTGATGCTAGCGGTAAGGCAAAACCAAGGCCAGGGAGCGTCCACTGAGTTTAGGGGCATGAAGGTCCAGGCTCTATCAGAGATCTGCCCGACTCCAGGGGCGACTCCAAACCTTTCTGTTTCGATGACTAGTAGCAGCAGCTGCAGTAGCACTGTCCCTTACTCCCCAAATTCCTATTTTGAAGCCCTAACCCCAGGACCTCAGAATGTGACTGTTTTTGGAGACAGGGTCTTTAAAGACGTAATTAAGGTCAAATGAGATCATTAGGGTGGCCCCTGATCCAATAGGACTGGTGTCCTTATAAGAACAGGAGTTAGCACGCGTGCATGCGCGCGCATGCGCGCGCGCGCGCACACACACACGTGAAGGCACAGAGGGAAGATAACCATCTACAAGCCAAGGAGAGGCCGCAAAACAAACCAGCCCTGCTGACATCTTGATCTCAAAGTTCTGGCCTCCAGAGCTATGAAAAAATAACTTTGTGTTGTTTAAGCCACTCTGTCTGAGGCTCTTTGTAATGGCAGCCCTAGCAAATGAATACAAACACTAACACCTCTTCAAACAAATTTATTGAGACGAAATTCACATTGTTGTCGGAGAGGGGGCCCTTCTCGGCGCAAAGTCCAGGTCCTTGGCAACTCAAGCAAAGAATTGAACGAGATACCGGAGTAAAAAGTAGTTTATTAGAAGAGATAGTACATTTCAAAGACGTAGAACTAGGCCAGAGCAGTAGAGAATGGCTCAAGGACCCATTAATAGAAGAGAAATTACATTCCAAAGAGTTTGGAGCAGGCCACGTGCAAAGGCAAGGCTCAAAAAAGGGAGGAAGGGGTTCAAAAAGGGAAGAAATGGTCAAAAAGAGCAGGGTGAACTTCCCAGGACTTGGGAGTTTTTATCCCCTTTCTCTAGAATGGGCTGTTCCCCTATGGGCATGAGACCCCTTGATTGGCACCTGTGATTGGACAAGTGGTACTGCGCAGGTGTGAGTGACTGATCTGATCTAGTTGGGTATGTTGTGCCCATTTGTTTTCCCGCAGGGGTAGGTAATTACAATACAAAGGGGAGTTTTGGGTGTAGCAGGGATGTCCCCTTGGCGGTCGCACTCTGTGGGATGTGCAGGAATGCAGAGACCCCATGCCTGCCTCTTAACTGCCTGCCTTGTTTTCCCCTTGAGAGACGTGATCCCCATGAAATCTCTATAGGAAGCTGAGGGACAGGAGGTCTTTCCTTCTGTGTCTGCTTCCTGCTGGGCAGGGGCATAGAGTTGTCCCTGCCTATTGGGGGATTCATGGAACTCTCGCCCTAGCTGACTGCAGATGAGAGGAAGCGGTCTTGAGCTCCACCTGGAAGACCATGTTGGCTTCTTTAGTTGCATCTGGCAATCTTGTTGGAGTGTCATCTGTTTCCCCAAGGTCACTGAATGAGGAAAAATACATTTTAATTAATAAATCTGTTAGCTCTCATGAAGCCTGTGGCCATTCAGCCTGTCACTCAGGTGGCGTCAGTTGTCTGGGCCCAGAATGGGTTTGGCATTTACTTTACTGGCCTGGGGGGATATTAGGAAGTCACAGGCTTTCAAGTAGTTATCTGAAGCAGGGATAGGAGACTTCTATTGTTTAGGATTAAGAAATTTATTTACAAAGCAATCAAGAAGCAGGGGGCTAGGAGAATTCTATGATTCAGGCTAGGAGCAATCTTCAGTCTAGGATTCACAAACTGGTTAGAAAAGTAATCAAAGCCAAGAGCTAAGAAACTAAGGAACTAGGGAGGAGACTTAACATTTCTATACTGAACATTACTATAGGAAAGAAAACTTAAAAGTTTCTCAGTGGTGGGGGGGCTGCTCAGTTGGCCGGTAACAACATAACATAAAACTCAACTTTTTAAAGTGTACGATTCAATGGCATTTTAGTACATTTACAATGCTGTGCAACCACCACCTCTATCTAGTTCCAATACATTTCCATCAGTCCCAAATAAAACCTGAGCCCCTTAAGCAGTTTCTCCACATCTCCCCAGAACACACTTTTATCAAGTACATTCTCTGTGTCAGGCACTGTACATGTGCACTTTACATAAATGTAAATGCATTCTCTCAACAGTACGAGGCGGCCGTTGTTGTTGTTGTTGTTATTATTATTATTATTATCCCCATTTTACAGATGAGAAACTGGGCCTCAGAAAGGCTAAGTAACTCGCTGTAAACAACTGGTTAGATAACTGCGATCAGCAAATAATTATTGAGAGTCTGCTGTGAGCAGGGCCTGTGGCAAATAACTGGGCATCCAGACACTTCTGATCTAGTGGGAAGGATGCAGGTTGAACAGTTAGAAGTTAAGTAAATAAGTACATGACTGGAAAATGCTAGAAAGGAGCCATGTCTGGCTCTGGGGCTGGGATGAGAGAAGGGAGGAAAGGAAGAGCAGCGAGAAGGAGGGAGTGCCAGCATAAAGCGCATTCTAGGCAGTGTTGGAAAAGTATACACATGAAGGCCAGAAGTGGGGGGACAGACATCAATCAGCCTGGCTGGGATTTGGTTACTGTAGGAGAGAATGGCTACAAACTGGCTTGGAGAGGTAGATAGGGGGGTCTGTGTCTTTGCAACAATGTTAGGGATTTCAGATCCCTCAGGGCAAGAGAGAGTTACGGATGGCTTAACACCATCCATTGAGAGTAACTTTACTAGACAATTACTAGTTCAATTGTCTCCGGTCATTCTGATGATTCCAGGTTGGGGAGGAGGACTTGACTGAGCCCTCCAATAAACAACAGTACAGATTGTTCTATACCTGTGTGTCCCCCCCACCTCCCACCGCAATTGGACTTTGAGCTCCAGGGAGGCAAGGACATCATCACACTCACCTCTGTATCCCCAGGGCACAAAGCACAGTGCCTGGCATTAAACTCGTCTGAGTTTTCTTGTAAGAGTGCAGGCACTGAAAAAAGACTACCCACCCACACCTGAGTGGGAACTTCTGCTTTGAGAGTTCAAATCTAGGCTCTACCACCTTTTGTCTCTGTGACTTTGACCAGTGACTCCCACCTTTATGAGACTTGCTTTCCTTATCTGTAGACTGGGTATAAATACAGTACCTACCATAGCGGGCCCAAATGAGGAGTCCTTGTGGAAGGCATGGGAAGTGCTTGGCACAGCACCCACTCAAGAATATTCTTTGTTGGGGGCCGGCCAAGTGGCGCATTGGTTAAGAATATTCTTTGTGACTACAGCACGCTAGTTTAGAGCATGGTCAAGCAGATCCGGATTAGAATCTAGGACAAGGGACTCTGAGCACGTCTGTTTATCTCCCAGAACCTCAGTTTCCCTATCTGTAGCTTGGGGAGAATAATAATAGGGTGATTGGGAAGGCTCACGAGCTCATGCACAGGAAGCGCCAAGCACTATCAGAAAGATGGATGTTATTATTGTTGGTCGACGGCTCCAAGGCCCACAGCCCAGATATTTTTCCAAAACGCGTTTCTTTCCCTTCGCTATGGGCGCAGGCCTCGCAAGTACCCTGGGCAGAAAGAAGCGGGTGTAAGCTACCGGCGTGGGCAGGGCAGCCCTTGTGCCCGCCCCTCGAGGCAGGTGGGCGGGGCGAAGCGGGGTGGGCGGGGCGAAGTGGGGTTTCCCCCGGCGCGCGCGCACAGCGGCCCCAGGTACGCGGACAAGATGGCGGCGGCAGCGGTCGACAGCGCGATGGAGGTGGTGCAGGCGCTAGCGGAGGAGGCCGCGCCGGAGACGGCGGGCCTCAGCTGCCTGGTCAATCTGCCCGGCGAGGTGCTGGAGTACATCCTGTGCAGCGGCTCGCTGTCGGCGGCGGACATCAGCCGCATCTCCAGCACCTGCCGGCGGCTGCGCGAGCTGTGCCAGAGTAGCGGGAAGGTGTGGAAGGAGCAGTTCCGGGTGAGGTGAGCCTGCCGCCCCGGCCGCTCGTGCTCCGGTTCTGTGTCCC